CTTCTCATTATTTTCTTTTGCATAGTTTGGCCAAACCTCGATGGGTTTTTGTGATTATTCTTTTCAGTTGTAATTTACGTTTCTTTAAGTTAGTAAATCCAATTTCTCTTTTGCACATGCTTGCTTCTTTCATACACAGTGTTCATCTTTTCTCTGTTTTCTGCGGTTTTCAGGTATAGTGAGTGTGGCTTTTTTACTGGGAATGGTAAGTTTTTTCTGGATGCTTTTCCCAATGTCCAGTCCACATTTGTATAACAATAGAGAAGATGATTGCAAGTGTTGGCATAGATACTGTAACTGGAACTAATTAGTACGCATAACTTATGCATTGCACATAGCTTTAATAGACACCAAGGGGACCAAGTTTCCTTCAGTTTTTATTGTTTATATGTTCATATTATTATCATTCAAATTTATCGATTTATGATTTTTTTTTCTTTCAGAATTTGTTTTATATAATTTTATTTGCCGTTGATGGTCTGATAGTTACTTTATGTATAAGCCCCGACCCATTTATCTGTTACAGTGTTCTTGAGCAAGGACTCTTGAGAATTAGAAAATGAGATCAAGAAACAAATGACTCGGCTGTACCATCCTTGTAGGGTGCAATGATAAAGGAAGATATATGATGACCATACACAGCAATTATATAATCTAGAATTTCATATGATTCAAACTCTGAATCATATTTCAATATTTTCTTCAGTAGATTTACAGCCATCATATCTACAACTTCTGGTTTTTGTTAGCATGTATGGTCATATTTTTGCAATAAAGAAAAAAGTCTGACAAGTGTAGGGAAGGAGATGAGGGAGGCATGCTTAGGACTGCAAACGAGTCGAGCAGTTCACGAGCCGCTTGCGAGCGCTCGAGTCAATGCTCGACTCGCGCCTAGTCAAATTCTAGCTCGACTCAGGCTCGAGCAGTTCAATCGAGCAAACGAGTCGAGCCTCGAGCATCAAATTCTAGATTTTTTATTTACTTTAATACCCTATATAGTTTAATTATTATCCATATTAGAACTTCAATGCCAAAATTGACAATCTAGATTAAAAATAGTACCTTTATATTTAAAATTTAGTTGTTAAAGATTCAAGTCGAAATCGAGTCATGTCGAACAATCTTATTTTTTCACGAGTCGAGTTGAGTAGCATTTTACATGGCTCGTAGAACTCAAGTTCGAGCTCGAGCAGTGAAGAAAAAAATTCGATCTGCGCTCTCAACATGGTCCATGCTCGACTTTACTTTACTCGATTCGTTTGCTGCCCTAGAAATGCTTATGGATGAATGGGAAATAACACATTGTATTTTAAATATAACATACATAATCATATGACATTTTATAATACAAGTATGTATCTTTATAAGAAAATATAATTGTTCAAACAGTTATAAGAAACAACCTACCAGCATTATTTGTGCTAATGCTTATCTCACAAACTACTCCCAATTTTCGAATTTTTGTACTGATTTACAAAATATGAAAGTTATAACTAGCTGCATGCATGAAAATATCAGATGGTTTCTTAATTAATTTAAGACTATTTTGATCGACTAAAAATCACCTTTAACTTCACGTTAATCTTGCTTGTTCCCCAATATATTACACTTATCCATTCATATGAGGACACAAACTAAAACTATATCATCAATCATGATTCATGAATATAATGGTTGAAATAAAAAAATATTTATTATAATTACTTATAATGAATATATTTGTGATTCTTCAAATGATGTCTCCAAGATACTGCGTTGATGACCATAAGATACTCTGAGGACACACTCAATCAAAGGAATTGCATTGGAAGAGTATTATGACTTATGTCTTCTCAACAAAAAATAAATAAATGTAGCGTATGATTGTAATAATTTATATACTACTAAAAGAAACTTATGATTGTGGTAATAAATTGAGCCATCAGAGAATCCTATTATAATCTTTGTGCAATATTGAAGAAAAATGTAAATGTGGATAGATTCATTCAATGACTCGTTGAAGTTTTTGGTCTGTTTTACTTCTCGTCAATCATCATGATCTGCAATACGCTTTTGACTTCTCCAGCACAAACGAAAAGGGGCCTAAAATCAATGCTAGTGAGGTCCCTCTAAAATTAAGCTTAAAGAGAGAAAATAAATATTAATAAATAAAATAAAATGACTAAAAATACATACAAAGGACCTAGAAAACTGAAACATAAATATTCAAAATTAAAAATCCTAAAGCACCTATGATTAGATATAGATTATTTTATCTTAAAAAAATTATCTCATGGAAAAAAGTGAGTGAAATAGTATAATTTTTTAGTGGAATAATATTTTGAGATTGTTATGGATATTAGATAAAATTTAATGATTAAATTTGATGTTATATAAAAATTAAATTGATAAATATAAACAATTGGTAGTGAAAAATATACAAATGGATGAATAAAATATTATGCTTAAAAATGAATATCAATGATTGATATGTGTTTTTTAACAAAATTAATATTCAATTTTTAATTATATTGTTAATTAAAGAGAGAGAAAAATAAGTAGTATTTAAAAAAGAAATAGTATGCAATTGTAGTTGCAATAAAAAACAGCAACAAGACGGAGAAAATTAATTTACATTTAATCGCCATAAATGATTTAAAAATCATATAAAACCAAAACCCAAATTTGCAGTCCTAAAAGCAATTGAAATTCTAGAGGACTTTTTTAGTGGAATATACAGTTTCCATCGGATTGGTATAATTAGTTTTATCCAATATTTTGAAACCCTACCCAAACAGTGTCTGGGCCGGTATTCGAATAACAGGATCACTGAGTGCACTGTACAACCAAATAATTAATTTGAAGAAGATAAAATGTATATATACATATGACTTTTTTCTTTTATATTTTAATCAAAAACGAAAATAAAAACTATATAAGTAAAATGCACATTTTATTAGTTTTATTTTGTATTTATAAATATTATTTAGGAAAATATCAAGCCAGACCATGTTTATCTGGTCGGGTCAATATCCGAGTTCCTCTAGAATTGACTGGTTGAAAAATAAATAAAAAATAAAAAATATCACCAAAATAGAAAAATTATTAAAGAAACAGTTTGGAAAAAGCGGTAGAAATTTCAATTTATGGGGAAAATAGGAAGCTTAATTTTTTTTATCCAAATCTAAATGAAATAAATAAAACAATCATGTCTTGGCAGGATAATCATAGTAGCTAATTAAGCTGCTGGTCAACCTGTGGCTGATGACGTTACCCATGTCATGATAACAATATATGAATTTGTAATTTACATCATATATATGCATGTCTAATAATGGGCTCCAAAAACTTATATCAAATCAATTTGAGGCTTAATCATACTATGTACCCTAACATTGACTTTTTTGTATTTGCCAATAGATATGGATGACGTTTTCCCTATTAGACCCCCACATAAGAGAATCTCATTGACAAGCCGTTTGTTCTTTACTCAGATTTCATTTAAAATCCAACATAGTGCAATCGATTCACATCCTCCCTAAATCTATGATTAACTAGTAAAATTGGATGAAAACAATATAAGTAAGTGATAATTAATCAGATATTGCACAATTAAATGCGAGACAGATGATTCGAGCGAAAAA